GACTGGAGAGCCATACAAGAAGAAGAAGAAAGCTTAGTAAGGCCACCACTCCTACAGTTAGTGAAAGTCTATACATTAAGAAATTGTTTTTATGTGTAGAAAGGGATGCAGACAAGAGACACAAGCCTTTGAAATTGAATTGAATTGATCTGACCCGAATCTGAAAACACGTTTGAAAGCAAAGTGTTTGCAATCTGAACGGTCCTGGCATTTTACTTACAGCTCGACACTTTTTGACAAGAGCTCTGCTAGCAGCTGAGAACTTTAGCCAGGCACAAGAGATTCTGCGGGACTCTGGTTGTGGAGCTGGAGATGCAGTCAGTATCAATATGACATTCCTAAACCAAGAGGGGGACCGACTGTTCCATAATGCAGAGGTAGGACCAGCAGTGGGTGGAGCTAATGAATCAGCTCTTAATATTTTTACTGCTAGTCCTGGAGAACACATCTTTCATTGTAACAAGTAAGTAAAACACTTATAAAAGCTTCATTATTTGAGATTTGAGGTTCTCATGATGGTGAACATGTCCATGGTGGTCTTCTGGGTTGACACCTTGTGGACTTGTACATTGATACATACCAAAAAATCCACATGGTATCACATACTAGAAGACCACCATGGACAAAATCTTCACTATTTTGTAGCCATAACTGAAGGCTGAGGTAATATGCTGGTTTGTTGCTAATATCACACATCTCAGGGATGGGTAGGGAGGATTGATGGTATAAAATTTATATTTGATTTATTGTATTTTTGCAGGTATTTGAGACTGCAGAGTCCTGAAGCAGGTGGTGAAATAACGACGAGTAGCGACCATCGTCATGCCACCATGAGCAGTTTACCTTGCCCTTATTCCAGAGGAGATGTTATCAATATATTGGGTGATCAGTCTGATAAAGAGTACTCCATCTTCCGTGAATCTGGGGATGATGATTATGTTAAGACTGTGGCTGTAGGTAAGATGGCTATCAAATCTTCAGGTGTTGTATTTCATATCTTCATGTGTTAAACATTTTTATAATAATTTATATATTAGTGAAAGAACCTGTTCTTTATCCACATTTCCTTAACTGTTTCCAATCCATTTCTTGTGAATTTTATTAGCCTGGTCACAATTAATTTTGTGAAAATGCATCATCATTTGACAACTCAAAACACATCTAGTTGACCTATATAATCATTGTCATCACTGTTTTCTACTTATTTACTTCTATAACTATATCTTCATCTTTAGATAACAGGTGTTCATGCTTTAGCCAGTCAATGTCACATGAAAGCTAGTAAGCTGCAGTAAACACGAATTAATCATCATCATCATCATCTTCATCATCTAGCTGTCAAGGATTTTGAGCCTTGTGACCCATTCCAGCCTCAGTCATCCAGGAATCTTTTTTAAAGGGCGTCCTTTGTTTCTTTTCCATATTGGTTTTATACTTACCATTAATTCATATTTCGAAAACAAAAGTGTGAAACATCATCTCTTTTCTAGTAGTTACTGGTGTGGTGCACTAGGGTGATTCTTTATACATTAAATGATTGCTAAGCTATGAAATAGTGCTAGTTATAGATCACTATATTGTCTATAAAAAGAAAATGGTTATGATCATGTAGCAACCAAATCAGGGGTGGAGAAATGGAAAAAAGTGGAAAGACAGAAGGACTTTATAACAGATGGAAATATGATAAGGTACATGCAGTTAACCAGCACAGCGTGTAGGCATATGGGTATTGTGGATATATGGTCCACTGTGGTACATATCACTAGATGAAGGCAAATAATTGGTTTCATTCTCTGGGTACTTTATCCATTGGGAAATATCCCCTGGTACCCATTATATAGGTGGCTAAATGGGTCCCAGACTCAGTATGGACACATTGGTGATTAATGGAAAAAATCCTGTTCCTGCCAATATTAATGTAAATATTATGCATTGTTGGATTATATGCATTCCACAGATCCAATTCACTAGGAAGTCAAGGTACGATCAACACAGCCAACATGAAACAGAAGTTAGGAACAATTAAATTACAATAAACAATACTACACTTAAACAAGACTGGAAAAGTGTGCTCTCTGTGGAGTACACCGACATTCTTCACACCATACCAATTAGGCTATTGTTGCATTGTGATCTGAGATCACTACTGTGCTTTAGGCAATTATTGCATGGTAACCCAAGGTCATTGTTGTGCCTCAGGTCATGATTGCACCAGTATGAACTGAGGTTATTGTTGTGTACCTGCTTCAACACCTAAAAAGGGGGAGTAAAGTAAAGCTTAAAAAGAAACAAAACCAAATTTACACACCTCATGTTCTCCAGTATAACAGAAGGAAAAACCAAATTTACACACCTCATGTTCTGCAGTATAACAGAAGGAATTCTTTTAATGCTACATTAAATTGTCCTTTATCAGTGGACAGATATTTAATACTGGATGAAGGCTGGTTGTACAGCTTGCAACTAAAATAGTTTTGATACACTGAAAGGCCAGTAATTTAAAAGTGAATAAAAACTTTGTAACATGCATCTGGCAACTAAGTTTTCATCTCCACGCTGAAAACAATTCTACCTACAGTTTAAAGCACTTTATTTGCACTGCAGATTGATAGTAAAACTGTTGTGCTGGGGTCTGCATCCAAGTCAGACACAGGTCACATGCGGTGTAGTAAGTAGAACTTACGTAAGTTGTGTGCATTTTGTAACTTAATCTGCATCTCAATTACAGGAATATTTGACTGTGTTGGACGAACATGGAGTATCTATACAGATAATCCAATGACAAATGAACCAGTTATAGTTCTGCCTCTTCAGTTTAAGCCATCAGTCAAGTGAAGACATTTGTGACATGTGCAATATAATATAGAACCTATCCTGTAAGCTGTTTTCAGAACCAGAAGCGGGAATTGAAATTAGGTCACAGTTGAGGGCATCACAAAACTATATCAACAGCATAGATAGTATCTGACATAATAGGAAATCATCAGTCCTCAAGTGACAAGATAGCACTGTTCAGTGGTTAGTACTCCTGCTTCATATTCAGGTCTGAGGTTCAGATCACACTGGAGGCAGCTAATCTTATTTGGGGGGGGGTTTGTGGCTGCTTCTTTCCACAACTTTAACAGATTTTCATTCACAGAATCACAGAACACTAAAAATAAAAAAAAATAAAAAAACTCAATCAGTCAATTAATTGGTAAATGAATTAAATTTTTTAGGTAAGACATCACTGTAAAACAATGCAAATTGGAAATACTTAAATAGGAGATTTCTTACACTGTACTGTGGCATACAAACATTATGTCACCAACATGAAATTGTATTTTCATGAGATAGGTGATATAAAAAGTATCATTTATTAATATTAACTAATTTTATGGAACATGATACTCCTTATGGAGTTGGTTGTTACTTACCTAGTACATAATTTCTGTTTTTATTGGAACTGAATCTTCATTGACACATCCTTACAAAAGGCTACCAGGAGACCTTATCCTGAGCTGTCTGTGACCTTTCTTCACAGTTTATAACACATTTTTTATGATGATGAATTGTTATCCCACATCCAAATTGAAGATCACCCATTTTTGGTTCTGCATAACTACTGCTTATTCAGCTGCTACTCTCATTTCTGTAGACCACCTCCATAGGTACCTCAGGTTATGTTATAGTAGCAAGGTTCTCATTTACATGTAGGGTAAAATCTGTTTTGATTATACAGTGAAGGTACGTATTTTTGTTTACAAGGGAGACAGCTCCTTAGAAATAGGTGTGTGTTTAAGTTAATTTTATGACCTAATTTTGAAAATACATTAAATGAATAACATACAATGTTTGCCTTGTTTGTGATTACAGCCTGTGTCAGACACTTCTAAAACTATGTGAATGTATATTTGTAGAGGGGGTGGGGTGGAAGTTTTGAAGATACTATGTATGGTCTTGTTACTGAATTGCAGCCAATATGATAGTATATTGGATGATAAATTGTTTCTAAGAACTATTTTGTTGGATAATTTTTTATTTTTATTGGTTTGTATGCAACTGATTAAGATACAGTAAAATGAATATTATATGTAAATTAATAGGATTAATTGTTAAATCTGATTAAAGTATAAAAATAGTAATTTGTTAATTCACTGTATTACTAATCCAGTCAGTATCTTTCCTCTTTGTTAATGTGAACCTGGCACCATCCCTAGGTGGTTCTGTAGTAAACAATTTGTATTTTTATGACATTTTAATATTTTTAGTCCACTAAATTAATGAAAACATATTAAATTTATTTTATATTGTTGAAAAGCCATAATTGTTAGCTTTAATAGTTGAGTGGTGGCAGGATATATTTATTTTACTTATCTTCTCTACCAAATAAATCTAGATCACAAAGGCCAGTACTTCGGAGATATACTGTCCTCCAGACAGTAGTGGCAGCTTGTGCACTCAGTTCTGTTATTCTACTTTGATACCTGTTACAGGTGACACTATGGTGTGGCTTTATAAAAGTAAAAGTATTTATTTTCCAAAGTTGCTTGTGGTGTCATCTAAAGAAAAGAATGCCAAGACTTTTCCAGTCAGGGTTTGCCATTACCCAATCTTGTAACCCTATTGTTGGTCATTTATAATCAGGGGCTGAGATTTAAAACAAAATGCAAACAGACTACATTATTTTGTAAACTGAATTCTATCCAGATGTGTTGACTAAGTATCCCATAGCCAAATACAAACAAAATGACAGGTTTAAATGTAGAACGAATAATTTTTTTGTGAAGCATGCCACTTGAAAACTAGCTCTTCGATTGACCTTGTCCTGTTTGAGATTATGAATCAACATACAAATATGACTGGTAATGTTAAGTAAGGACTCTAGGATCAGCTTCACAGTGAAATCCAGTGCATCCAAATGAAATATGTCAAACTGTATAAAGACAAAGCTTTAATTGTTTTACAATTTACATATATTTCACCACAGGGGTGTTCAATCATATCTTACACACACACATATAAGAAAAGGAAAGAAAAATACTGACCAAGAAAGTAATATTTTTCTACAGTTTACTCATACCTTGAATATAAGTATATAAACATGAAATGGAAAATGCAAAGAAATATATAGGAGGTGGTCATATGCTTATGTGCACAATGTTAAATAAAAGCATTCAAGCAATGAATGTAAAACACATTGCAGTATCCAGTATATGCCCATCATCTGTCAATACTACTCCTGTTCATTCAGGTTTATTAGTTTTGACATCATATGTAGGTCACCAGAATGTCAAGAGCTGCAAGCAGCCAACCAGCATTACTGCATAATGAACTGCGACTGTTTTAAATACTGTGAATTTTTATTGAAACAATGAGATTAATAAAGCAGTGCTGGGTACCCTGCCAAGAAAACAAATTCTAAACACAAATCAAGTTCAACATTGTAGAGAAATGATCTTTACTGACTGCTGAATTTAAACTTAATTTTGACTACATATAATATGTTTCTGGTTGCAAGTGGTACACACTGAAATACGTAACATCAAATACCAAGTCACTTATCCCACTTTATGTTAATTCTTATGGCAGTATTTTAAGGCAAAAACAGTGCTGTGTGGCTTCTTCCAACTGTCACTAAAAGGTTCCTAGTGGATTCATATACATGGAATGGGTTTTGTCCTCTCAGCAAGGTGCCTGTTTCTAGTATCTGTATTATGAGCATCAATGTCACTATATTATGTCCTTCAAGATGTTGACAAAGAAGCTACTAAACACAAAAGGCACACTGTCTGTGAGAACAGTTCTTAGCCTCATCCTGAGGAACATGAGGCACAACTGTTGATGCTGCCACTCCCAAATCCACCCATTCTCCTCTGGGGTGGTCGTGGAGGCCTGAGGAACAACACAGAATAATCGGTTTGAAAATCAACATCATTACAAAAATGTGTTCTTTGCTACTCTGAATACTTCTCTGTCCTTGATTTTCATATTGCAGATACAAACCCATTATCACAGTTCAAAACTTACTAGAAGAAAGTGACACAGGCAGAAGGTTATATAATCTGATGTGAACTGCTTCTTACCCAGGTCCAGGTCTGTAATCTCTTGTGTATCTGTCTCCATGTCTGTTCATATCAGGGTTGATCAAAGTCTTGAAGCTGCAAAAAAGTGCTAATTAGTACAACTCTATTTTAAGTGGATAATATATATAAATTACTGACAATGTGAGGAAAGATGATGTATCATTAATGTGGAGGCATTATAGAATTCTGGGACTATGTAAAACTTCATTATAAATTAAAACTAATGGCATAATACTAAGCAGACATGTGATGCCAACTTATAATGCTGTTTGCAGGATGGAACAGGTCACACACTAGGAAATTTTTCTAGATGTATTGAGATTTGTAGTGCTGTAAATATTTAAACTGGTGAGAAGACATTTGAAAGGGGTCTCTAATATATATATACAGAATGGACCATTCATTATTATTGATACAGTAATACAAGATAGGATCCTGACAGTGAATTTATAAATCTCACATTAATAGCAGACTTGCTCAATAAATATACAGAATTTATATTATGTAAAACTAATATTGTTATGCAAATGTCCAACACAGTGTTCCTATAATTTATCAACCAGTCACAAACCTCTAGTGAATCATTAGTTTATTGTATTGTGGTGTTTTGTTTTTTTGTACACTGACTTGTTACTTATCCTGATCTAGGATTCATGGAATGCACAAAAACTACTCTAATCTAAAATAATATCAGATCATCATGGCATTGAATTTTAATTCATAAGATACACCTAAATAACTGGACTAAAATTCCTATTTTTATGAAGACAACTTAATACTTACAACATAACTATGAAATTCAGGAAACCCCATAATAATGCAATTAACCTTGAGATACTCCATGGAGATTTGTCTTGAATTGTTCCACCTGAAAATGTGTATAATCACAATGTTATGAAGTTTGCAGATATATATGCGTGTGTGATTTTTATTATCAATCTTAAATGCTACAAGTAAGGGTTCAGAGAGGTAGAAGTTATCTCTAGAAACTAAAACTGACTTTCACCATTTGTTACGATGAAAGTTGCAACATGATGCTTGGGATATAATTGCATGATGATATTAATTGTTGTGTTGTGTATCAGATGAGAACAAAGAATAAATGAAGCACTGTCTATTTTATAACACTATAACATTTTCTCCCATTAACCTTACACGCAAGCAATACTTACTTGAAGATACGTATACCATTGTGTGTAGAACACTTTACAGCTACTAGTTCCCTGTAAAAGATAAGTATACTAACAGGAACATTTCATACAACCATTTCTAATTTTATTCGAACACCCCAATCCAAGAACACCACGTCTTCCTTCTCACAGCCCGACACACTAACAATCATCATCTGTTCTACCAATGACACCATTAACGCGACCACGCATATGACGTCTTCGAAATTCTACAGTCACTTGTTAAATAACAAACGCCTTGACGAAGCCGTCAGGTTTATTTGTTGTGCCTTTACTACAAATTGCTGTCTTACACTGCTGTACGTTTTGTATTCCTTATGATTGTCTGAAATGTAGTTTTATTGAATTATTACTCAGAACTTGACGATATATAAGGTACGAATACTGTTTTTACTAAGTTTCTTGGCTTCAGATTTGAGCGGGGTTTAAAATGCCAAATTTAGATAATCTCCAAACAAATTTACAAAATTTCAGCAACATTCAGCCAAAATAAAAGGTTTCTGCTTTTACCGAGAGAGACTTTTTGGCTATAGTACTTGTGTATGTGCTACAGCACACAATAATTGTCAGTCCTGTGGCAGTGGGTAAGTGAGGTACGGTATATCATTTCGACAAGTTTGTAAATGTGAAAGCAAAATTGGAAAGCAAATCACGCAGAAATTAAATCTTATAGGTAACAGGTTTCCCCAGTTTTACAGTGCCTAGTAATTTTGTATTTACATAATTTTTCAGGTACCAAATGTTATGTCACATAAGGATTCTTGTTCAAGCTGTGTTGTGGCTGGTAATTATGGAAGATCTTTTATACAGTCTACCTGAACTCAGTTGTCAAACGTGCGGGATTTTGACAGACTGAAGTAATGGAAATACCTCAAATGTATTCTTCACCATATGGTGTGGGGTCAGATTCAACAGCAGCAATGTCCTCAAGTGTTGGACAGACTTCAGTCTCGCTGCCTAATAACAGTGCAAGTTCTGGAGGACACTTTTTCCACAGAGGGCTGCAACAGTCACCAGTATTCAATCCTTTGTTTTCTAACCAAGGACAGTCCTTGTATAATGGAGTATTCAGTACACAGACGGGATATACATCACAAAATTCTTTCTCCACAACAAATGTCAACAGTTACGGTCATGTAGAACCTCCCCCTTGGATATCAGAAACCCGAGTTACAGCTGCAGTGAACAATACTTCGTAGCAGATAGAAAGAGACAGGGGTAGTCGAGCTCAGCATAGCGACAAAACTGTATCATGTAATAGCCATGGTTTATCTCATACATGTTGTGGTAATAGAATAGGAATTGCAGAGAATATTGGCATGTGTTCTCCAATGTCTGCAGAAGCTTACAGAGCAGTAAGCAAGGAATTAGTAAGCATGCAATCTAAGAATAATAACAGTCTAGACTCTCAAGGCTGGCTCTGCAACCAAGGGATGATAGGGTATGAAAACCAACAGAATCAAAACACCCAGCAAGGCAATTACAAGTGCAATGAACAATTTCCATCATGTTCTGTTTCCCAGATAAACATGTTACTTCAAGAGCAGCCTGATCTCAAGCATTCATCTGATTCTTGTTTTGATCATTCGCAAAATCATAGTTCAAATAAACAAACTAATCAGTGTTCTGACAGTGGATCAGTAAAGTCTGTTTGTGTAGAACCAAATAAAGAACAAAGAGTCAAATACTGTAATCTTCAGAAAGTTCAACAAAATGGACAATCAGTTGAACATTTTCAACAGCCTCTACAGCAAAAACAGCAAGAGCAAAATTGTTATGTGGGTCACTCTTCACTGTATGGTTCATCAGTCGAGCTACATGAGGATACACTGTATTCTCAGGCATCCCTTATCCTGCACATGGGTAATGATGGTTCTCATAACACTGGTCATTTCCAGACCCACTTTGTTTCTTCAAAACATGAGAACAATATGGCAGATAACAGTAAGTCTTACACGATGTCACCAGTTCTGCAGACCTTTCAGGAGCATACCCGATGTGGCCTGGATGCTGGAATAACCTGTGAGATGATGGATAGCTGTCTTCAGACAGACATAAAAACTGTGAATGACAGTTCTGTGAATGTGTCATCCAATAACAGCTGTTGTGAACTATCGATGGAGCCAGTCAGCAGCCGGCCTGTGTTTGGTATGCAGAAGTCAGCTGTCCACTGCCTGCTAAACTGTAATGCTGCTGTCAGTGACAGAATGCAGTCATGTTTAAACACTCAGCAGTTGCAGATAGAATGCAATGAGGTGGATGGCAAGGAAAACAGCAACCAGGAGTCTTCCAGTGTCACTTGTGAAAGTGACATCATTGTAGAAGAGACTGAAGAAGAGATGACAGAGAGCGAGGTACATTTTGGATTGGTTAACATTGATCTATGATGTTAGTTATTGCAAGTTACATAATGGTGCTATTTTTACTTGGAGATAATGTTGTTTTATATGACATTTGATGCTATATTGTTTTAGATTTGATACGAAGATACTCATGAGTAATTTATTGCTGTGAGGTTGAATTATTTCTCTTTTGATTTTATTTTTATCTCAGTGTGATAAAAATTAAACCATAATGAGGAAATTTAACTATTTACATGTATTATTTCTGAAAATACTAAATGGATTTTGATCCAGTGTGGTATTGGTGATCTCTTACTAAAAGTTGTCAGGAAGAAAAACATTTTTTTCATCAGTCAGATATCACAAGTAGTTTGATTTTAAACCATTTTAAGTCAATGATGTACATATGTTGAGCAGCATGGATTATGAACTGCCATTTATCAGTGCAATTGATACATGCTTTAAAAAAATAATAATATAATTACTATCTGGTGCATTATATCTTACACAGTATTGCGTTGTTGATTTATTTACAGATTTCTATAGAAGAAATGAAGGACACTGTATTCAGAGAGGATAAACCTGCCAAGTGTCTGGTATGCAGCTTATCAGCAAATGCCAACAATCAGTTCATCCACATGCGGTGTGACTCACCTGTGACATCAACATCTCATATTCCTGTAGTAACTAAATTAGCACAAGTAGTGCTAGATATACACACGCAGATTCGTAAACTCCATAATGAGTTTATATGCAGGCGATGTCTCAATTTGATTGACACAGTCGACTGTTTAGAGACAAAATTAGCTGCTGTAAAACAAGATCTAATCCAACTATTTGAAACCCGGCTAATGTCCTTAAAAGCTCTTGAAAACTGGAAAGTAAGTGATGATAATGCAGAAAGCATTGCAGAGGAATCAAAGAACAGTGGGGATGTATCTTTGTGTAAAGAAGCTCCAGAGAATACTAAAGAAAACATGCATACAGATCAGATAGCTTGTTGTACTGAAAAACCTTGTGAAAATGAAGAAATGAAAAATAAGGATGGTGAAAATAAAATAATGTCCCAAGAATCTGATAAAAATGTATTAACAGAATATGGGAGTAGTGATGTGTTTAATAAACAAAGAGTATGTGAAGTAGAAGTGTCTTATGATACAAAGTATCAGTGTGATGTCTGTAATAAGTCTTTTTCAAGCAAGGAGTATTTAAACAATCACCATCAGCAGCAACATACCAAACAGTTCAGTTTCTATTGTGATCAGTGTGGTAAGGGATTCACTCTTAAGCGTGCACTGGAAAACCACCTGTTGCTGCATACTGGGGAGTTCCGTTACCAGTGTGAAGTTTGTGGGAAACTTTTCATTCAGCATTATTCTTTGAATGATCACCTGCGTAAGCACGAGGGTCAATTTCGTCTTGCTTGCCAACAGTGTGGGAAAGGTTTTATGTGCCGTAACTCCCTGCATATCCATACACGAATTCACACAGGAGAACGCCCCTTTGTGTGTCAGCACTGCGGTAAACGATTCAGTTCCAGTTCAAACCTCGTGGCTCACATCCGCCTGTGTTCCGGGGATCTACCATTCCACTGCAACCAATGCGAAAAGAAGTTTGCTCTTATGACACAACTCAGGGCTCATGTTTTGTCACGGCATGAGGGGCAGTACCGATTTAAGTGTGCAGTATGTGGCAAAGGTTTCACAAAGGATTCAGATCGAAAAATTCACGAGCGGTCCCATTCAGGAGAAAGGCCTTTTAAATGTGTTACCTGTGGTAAATGCTACAGTAGTACTGGAAATCTGAATCAGCATGCAAAGCAGCATGATGGAGAGCGGCCTTTCAAGTGTTTGATATGTGGCCAAGGTTTCTTGCGTCGCAGTACTCTTGCCAGCCACATGAATCAGCACACTGGTGCTCGTCCATTTAGTTGTGATCAGTGCGACAAAACATTTATGACAAAACGAAACTTATATGCCCACCGTAAATGGCATGCAGGTACAATCAAGCGCTACACTTGTACCATATGTGGAAAATCATTTAACCATGGCTTACAGGTCCACATGAGGACCCATTCAGGTCACAAACCTTACACGTGTTCAGAATGTGGTATGGCCTTTACTGTCAAAAGTACCTTGAACAAACATGTAAAAAGTAAGCACAGAAAAACATAGGTTTACAGTTTGAAAAAGAGTCTTTACATTTTATATACCACTCCTTTTTTACTGAAAAGTACATGATGATAATATGTATTTATATATTTTGACATATCAATAACATGATTAATGACAGTTATACACTTAATTTATTGCTGAATTTCATCAACTACCATCTGAGTTTGTTCTTCATCACTTTCACTGTCACCATCTGATCCTGAGTCTTCTTCATTGGCATCTGAGCTACTGTCTGATTCTAACCATTCTTGGCTTGTTAGATCATTTGGGATAAGTGTCTTCCATTCATCCAGTTTGTGTAGATCTGGAATAGAAAGCATTTTGTTTAATGCATCAAAGCTATTGATTACTAACTCTGTGGGGCAGATTCCTTCTTGGGATACAGTCCCTCAGCTGGTTAAAAAGTTCCCCACATATTATGAATCTGCAGGCTCATTACTGTGTTCAAAACAGCCCAATGAACAATACTGTGAGGTAGCTGAATCTAGTACGCACACCCACATCCTCTCTCTTTAGTGTCCATTTTAATATTTCCACCCATCTATTCCTTGATCTCTTAACATTTCATTACAAATTTTCAAGTAAAATTTGACATCTTCCCCATGTTACATGTCCTATCTATCTCGTCTACTCATAATAATATTTTTGTTGAAGAGTACAAATTATGAAGCTCCTCCTTATGTAATTTTTGAATCCTCCTGTTACTTTCGCTGTCTTAAGACTGAACACCTCCATCTGTGTCCTTCGCTTAGGGTGACAGACCTTGTTTCACACCCATATAAAACAAGAGAGTAGTTTAGATAGAAGTATAAGTAGATTTATTCTGCTGCTGCTTAAGAACTTTGTGAATATAAATTTGATTTGCTTCTGCTGTTGAAAATATTTTAAATTTATCACGTGGACTGACCTCGGAGCAAACGAGAAGCCTGCAACAAACTGATTGAACTAAGGCATGGTCTAAGTTGATCAAGTAATGCAAGCACTGTTTTTTACCTAAAGAATAAAAGTCTGATAGGGTAAACTGCTTATCCCCTTCCTCAATCAGTCCTCCATACAAGTAAAGGATACTATGCTTCACAACCAGGCCACAGTTCATTCTAGGTGACGGAGAGAATGCCTGCCTTGCTTCTGAGCTACCTTCCACATTTTGTTGAGATGTTGACACTGATGTAACAGAACTCACTGTTACTTTGAAAATACCATCATCTGATACCACAGCATTAGATGCAGAAGGTACAGCTGCTACCTGTAAGTTAAATAAAATATTCCGTGAGAGAATAAATAGTATTTTAGATCAGTGGTATTCAACCTTTTTTGTTCGCGTACCCCCAGATATAATTTCTCTTCAACTTTGTACCCCCAAAGTTGTTGGTGTATAATTCAAGTTATACATAGTATATAATTACATCTAAAATAAATTAAATAAATTACATTACTGATTATTCAGTGATTATCATAAAATAATATATATATTTTTTTAAATTTCACGTACTCCCTAAGATGTCTTCGCGTACCCCCGGTTGAATACCACTGTTTTAGATCACTGTGAACCTACCCAACCAAAAAATTGACATTCTCTGGTGTAATTCTACCACACTGTGAATGACTGAAAATAAATAGGTAAAGTTAATCCTTTGTCTAAGTGCACACCATATATGCATATAGGTAGTGCACAGGTGAAGTTCCATGCATTCTAAGCCTGTGCATACCAGTTTCTAACACTCACTAAGAGGTGGTTCGTGGGTGGATATGGTGCTGGGAAACAAAAATTCATATTCAGTCTATCAATGAAGGCTATCTTGGCTCATGGGATGAAATAGAACTGAGGTAAGATAAACAACTTGCTGTTATAAAATGTACTTTCTTCTCTTCAAAATATTCACCTTGTAAACCAAAATGGTTACAATATCTAATTGTATATTATCTAATATGAAAACATTTGTTCATAAGTCTCACAGTCAGTTACATCATTACAGAGTTTTATGGAGGGCAGAGTCTCTGAGCTCAGAATGTATCAGCCCAAATGTTTAATAAAACATAATGTATGCAAAATTAAGTAGAGTTTAGAGGTCAAAGGAACCTTCATGTTAGAATATGAAAATGACCACCTACCTCTTCTGTTCCATTATCACTCACAGCATCTTGCAATTCAAGTGTATCCATTTCATTTAATATGTTATCAGAATCATCATTTTCAACATCATTGGGTAATTCATTTTTCTCCTTGCGCCGTCTTCTCTGCTTCCCAGAATCCTTCTTACCTGACAGTGTGACTGGAAATAGATACAGTGGTATCCAGATTACTTCACTCTCATGATTACTCAATGTTTTCTGTGGTCCTAAAACATCTGACATCATGATGTGTGTTGGGTAACACCTCAGCTTTATAGTTTGGAAATCCTGGGTACTATTTTAAACATGGAGACTGGTTATCTTGACTGATGTTTACATGTTTTCCTCAGTTCCTGAAGGTAAATACTGGGACTCAACCCTGAAGTATGAATATAACAGTATGTTCAACATTAGGGTGCTGCTTGGAGTGTGAATACCCATATATTTTCCACCGCTTTTGTCCTGTAGAGGGTGCATGTTTGGCAAATCTTTGCTTCACAGAGGACTGTAAGCTTCTGACATCTATTGGGGACTGATTATGTAATACCCTATTAACCTCCTTGCTTAGGAGAGATGAGAAATACCTACTTGTAACACCTCAGAGGAACAGGCCACTTGGGATACCTATATGTTGCTGGGAGGATATTAAAATTAATACTAAACAAATGTGGCATGAGAATGTGGACTGGATTTAACTGGCTCATGATGTGGTTCATTTATAGGCTCTTGTAAATACAGTAATGGACCTTTGGTTTCCATAAAAAGTGATACATTGCCTGTGTGCCTTCTCAAGAAAAATTACATAAATCATTAAGTTCTCCATTCTAGGCAACACTGCATGTGTTAATTACTGGACAGAAATACCTGTCCTCCAAAGTGTTTTATCAAAATCCAAAGTAAGAAGGTCATTGTAGAATGTCCCTGCTAGATCATTTTCACTGTCTTCAATGTCCCATACTCCACCAAATGCATAGGCTTTGTTGCCAGGTGCAACGGCTACAGACATGCCACAGCGTGCTGAGATACGAGCTCCAGATTGTTTCACTGCCACCCATTTCCATTTCAGTCCTGATATGTCATTCTCTGCATAATGAGAGAAACAAGAATCAAACATGTACTCACCCTGAAGAACTTTTTAATAAATACAGACAAAACTATGTAATTAAAATTAATTTCTCCTTCCTTTTTGTGTATACATAAGTCTGCCTGTAATTTTGTATCAGTGGTACACACCATGAACAAGTTTTGATAAAATTTCATATCAATTCAACCTATTTGAGTCTTTACAAGTTATTGTGAGAGAAAACATCATTTAACACCTGGTTTTTTCAGTAATATCTAAAAATTTCATATCAAAAATTCTGTTGAAATAAAAACAAATGAGCCAACACTTTCAACATACCAGGAACACCATTTAATATGTAGGCTTCCATGAATGGTATGGAAAATGTTTCCAAGTCTTGGTAAAAGTAGAATATAGACTATGGCATAGTTTAAAAATCAAAATTTGTTGCTGTAGTTAGCAATAGAATAATTAGTCATATTGATCACTTATGTATATTCCCAATTTTGGCTTCTTTGCCCTTATTAGTTAATATTTTCTATATTTATGATGCTATAAAATGATTATACTTTGTTTTATTTTGTTTTCCTGTAGTATTTGTTTTTGATTGTGTATAATTTTTAATTTTATTTAAAATCATACATTTTCAGTCAATAATATAGCTGCTAAATATTCACAAATCAAACAATATTTTGTACAAAAACTAAATTTAGTATGATAAATGTTCTTTGCTATATAAACTTTAATCAGTTCTTTTGAAGTTTTGTATAGAATATCTTTGTACATATTATGGAATACGAAAAACACAATGACACACTTATTGATTGCTGAAGGGAAGTTGATACACATGTGACTTGTTAATCCTGCTGTGTGACGCTGACAACTCACCTCCATCTAGTACTGAGGTTAAGAATGAGTTGGAGCTATACCTCCTCTCCCCCAAGTGCCTGCATGGCATATAGTGGGACAGCTTTACTTTATAACTTGCTAATATCATTATGTATATGGCACTATCTGGAATACTGGGAACGACCCATTCTTCAAGTGCCTGAGCACTGCTGGTCCCAACTTTTCGTTGGCTTGATCTATAGACATTCGGTAGGACTCCTTGGAAGAGGGATCGGCCCGTCGCAAGGCCTCTACCTGTACACAGGACAGCACAACACAGAAAAACGCGGACAAACATCCATGGCTTGAGTGGGACTTGAACCCACGGTCCAAGCGGCACAAGGCCCACGCCTCATACTGCGCGGACCCCTACGGCGCCATCAGTGGGTAGGAAAGGAACACGGTTGTTTCCTTCATGGACCAGTGTATTATAACTGGAAGGATGGTATCAGCTGGGGCACAAGTACTTACTTTCTGGTGTTAATAGGAACATATCTGTATGTATTACACCTTTATCAACATCACGTTTGATTTTTTCTTTACTGTATCCCCCATAGATGAGCACTTTTCCATTGGGTAAAGCCACCATTACACAACCTGATCGAGGAGCAGGTGGGGTTCCTGTGAAAGAAGCCAATGCATCAGCTACAGTTTTCTAAGTGCGTCTTACCAGTTTCATGAAAGAACTCTCATCAGTTTTTTCATGGTAAGTGCTACAATATTTCTCAACTAGTCATCTACATGACTTTAGCCTGTCTACATTTTTGGTCCCTACTGATCATGAGTGGGGTGGAACAACATTTGTGTGTTTAATTGATTTCACATTGGAAATTTACCTCTCCTGAAGTAGATTAAATTGTGGTTCAACCTTTCACATGCATTTGACCATAATTCATTCACTTTAAGTTTAAACCACATTTAAATAAACATAAACATCCCTAGTTCAGTACCTGTAGGTTCTATTCGTTTCCACGTGTAGTTCTCCAGATTAAAGGCATACACGTCATTGAAGTACTTATAGTCACGCAAATTATCATGGAAGCCTCCAAACACAATCAGCTGCTTCTTAATATACACCATTCTATGCCCACTTCTTGACGACGGTCCTCCAGAAGCACTGCGCAGATATTTACATATGTGAATTAAGGAAGTGATTAATGATGAGGAAGGATGCAGATGATGTCAAGCTTTCATACTGTTTTTTTTCCGAGAAATTGGATGAAATTAACATCGAGTAATACTTTGGTCCAGCATGAACCAAAATACCAATATTAAACCATGCTCCCATTGGCTCGGGGCAGGCTACTCCATTCACATTCCGGCACCTATAAATCTAGCCCCACACACCCTATTGGCATATTGATCGCCCTGATGACGGAGGCAGTATGACCTCTGAAACGTTGGTAAACATCAACCGGACTACACAGCGCAACAACCCAGAAGACAGAAATCTTCATACTCACCGCTGTGAAAACTTCAAATCATACAATATTAAACCAGCCTAACAGTTTTGACGTACAATCCAGATGTCAAATTTACGTTGAAGTTCATTCAGTAGTTCAGAGATGAAATGTGGACAGACAATCTCTGCACTATGCATCCGTTTCAAGTGCTTCATACAGAAAACAACATTGAGTCTAATTTATTGAATTACTGAAGACTGACTAATCTTCCTGTAATACTTGAAAAGACCTGCTGTAGAGAATCAAGTAAAACAGACATAAGAAATTTATGTCTTGAACATAAATATGGCCATGACATTGAATTACCTTATTTTTTCCCATTTTTTCATTGACACATGATATACCCAGAGATCATTATAATGGTAGAACTGTGACTGTGTTGGACTTGCATACTCTCCTCCAAACACCCATAACTGGCCTTTGCCTGCAGATAATGCAACTGTTTGATGACTACATCTTGGAGGGGGCCCGCCAGGAGCCTTCATTCGTATCCACTCATTCCGAGGGATGTTGTAGAAGTATAAGTCACTATATAAAAAGGTCTGTAACCATTTCAAAATGATGATTATTAAAGTATGCAGTGCTATGACCATTTAATGTTCCATAAAAATTATAAAACTCAGATGCTCATGCAAGGGACCAAAAACGTATAATTCCACCTTTTATTTGATATGAGTGTGTAACTTTTGTCTTTCATTTTAAGGAAAGAACACAGACTGAGGGGTGATTGAGAACAGAAGTGCTGAGGAGAATATTTAGACTAAAGAAAGAAACTGAACTACCTTTATTCTGTCACTAGCCAAGTGCCACATCAGAAACGAAGGCTCTAACTTGTGACTACTGCACACCTCATGGGGTGGTGACAGTGGAAAACTGAAGAAATTGGGGAAAACCTGCTCTAGTGATATTTTTTTTATCACACTGGAGAAAATTCCATAATGAGAGCTTGATAATTTGTGTTCTTTGCCCAATAATTTTGGAGTGACTGGATGATGCTGTGGGCAGGACATGTAGCATGCATAAAATATCTCAGTGCATACAGAGAATTATGAATACTTCAAGGAATGAAAGTTGGGAGACTTAGACATAGCTGGGATGATAATATTAAAATGGAACTGAAGGAGGTAGGGTATGAAGATGTGGACTGAATTCAAAATGGCTCAGAACATTGTCAGTGGCAAGCTTTTATAAGCATATGGTGAACCTTTGGTCTCCGTAGAGGCAGGTAATGTACTGGCACATCTTTGTCCTACATTTAGTAAAGATATAATAAATGTTTGAAATGCTGGCAATAAAATGCACTGTCAAGTTAAAATAAAAAAAAATCCATCACATCCCCTTTTTGATAAATGTATATACTATGGGAGTTCAGTAAAGTGACTGGTCTGGCAAGGTTATTTTGGTAGAGCAGTTTTGTAAAACTGTTACAGGTATTGCACCTTTTGTCCATTGAAATATTCCCCTCCAAGAAGGATTAGTTCTTCTTTATCTGGATGTGCTGTTAACGAAAAGTTTGCTCTACTTGAAGGAGGGGAAACAATAATTTCTACCACTTCTTGTTGTTTCTTCTCTTCAAGTTCTATTTGTGCTACAATATTTTCAATATCATCCTGAAAACAAAAGCATACACTAGAACTCTGTTGTCTCCAAAGTTCTATAAAGAATAAAGCATAAAATAGTGTTGCTGAATTTTCCTTCATTGTAGATTTAGAATACATTTTATGAGTGTGAACCAAAGTCTTTCATGAACAACAAATATAAATGTGGTTGCGGGAGAAATTTAAATATGAATATATAAAAGTATAGAATCATAATACACAGATCATAAGCTTAACTAGCATTAAACCAAATGTCATGGTTTACTAATGTTTGGGAGCTTCTAGTTTTGATTCCAAACTCAGAGACAAACTATCCTGAGGTTTTTTCATGGTTTTTCTCATCCTTTGAGGCAAATGTAGGATGTTATCTTAAAACAGGTTGTACAACAACTCAATTTCAAAGTAATCATTTTTAACATTGTATCGATGAGTTACAATTAATTTAATTCAGACACCATCTAATGCTACATTTTACAAATTAAATTGTCCACCATGTTTCATTTAAGATCTCTCATCATCCTCAGTAGAATTCGTATGTATAATCCATTAAAAGTTTTACAGGTGGTAACAATAGGCTACACTTAAACACAATCAAAGTATGACAAAAACTGGTATTGTTCCTTCTCTCTGTGGGGTTCATAGGACTTGTAGATTATGGTTATGTGACTTTTAAATCTTGTATTGTCATCATGTTTTATAAAGATTTACCACCTTTGGTTTCTTATACTGGTTGGTATGTTGGAATGGCTGTCCATCATAGTTATTTACTGTTGATGTTCTGCAAGTGTACTTTCAAATACTTTCCAATTCATCACCTTCATTTGAACCCGCAAAATCTAGGTTTTTTTAAAAAATAAGAATTAGAACAGCTTTGCAATAGTGGCCACTTACAACACGTGAATCAGTTTGATTCAAAGTTAACTAACCAAATCTGTGCTAACCTAAATTATCTTTAAATCTGGATTTCAAGTTACTAACCCAAACACACGCAAATCAACGTGAAAAAGACTTTTGGTCATAATATTTTAAAGAACACCAACATCTCATCCTGAGAGACTAAAATACTCAACCTGCCACTTAGAATGTTTGAAATATTCGTTCTAAATGACAGTACCTCTCCTATAGCAGCAAGTTCTTTTTTATTTTTTTGTTTAAGTTTCTTGTCAGTTTTCGATGCCGTTTTCTCAGCTCCTTTCCCTTTCTTTTTGCATCTGTCCTTTTTTCCCATTTTACAATCAACTCCTATGCGTGTAAAATGTAAATACACGGTATATTAGTGTAACATGAAACGCGTACTTCGAAATCATGAATACCAACATTACGTTGACTCTAGTTGGTGTGTGTGTGTGTATGTGTGTGTGGGTCCTCAGATCTGTTTCGAATTGTAATAATAATCGTTCAGTGTGCATTAGTTCTGTTGCAAAAGTCAGTGATTTGGCACGTTTGCTATACATCGCAGTATTGTTCGAAATATGGAGTTAAGTAACATTAAGGTTTCGAAGTATTCCATAATGTTGAATTAATGTTGGTATTTCGGGAAAGAAAAATGACGTCTATATCACGTCTGTAGTAGTTTGACTAATGTAACAGTAGATGGTGATGGCGATGGCGATGTATGTGACCCTTGGTGCCATCTACTCCAGGCTGGAAATTTGATGTGTGCGTGCATGGTTATGTGACATATTTATGGGTTTTTTATGTTCTTAATTTGTTGAGTGAATTTGAAAGAACTACTAGTGATGAATAAATTGATTTCGTGTGTTGAAAACAATTGATAGTGCCCCAGTTGTACATTTCCTTAGAACCTGCTAAATGCCCGCGAACGCTTCTCCTATAGTAATTATTATTTCCTGTTTAGTTTATTTTATGCACGCAAGCTAATGATGTTGACAGGTAGGGAGATAATTGCAAAAAGAACACCCACATCGTATTCTGACTAAACTGCTCAACCTGCCACTTAGAATGTTTAAAATATTCGTTCTAAATTATGAGAGTGCCTCTCCTATAGCAGCAGGTTCTTCTTGATGCCGTTTTCTCAGCTCCTTTTCGTATCTTTTTGCTTCTGTCTTTTTTCCCATTTTACAATCAACCCCTCTGCGTGAAAAATGTAAATGTACGGTATATTCGTGTAATGCATGAAACACACTAGGAAGTAATGAATCGTAATATTACGTTTACTCTAGTTTCAGTGTGTGTGGATTATCAGCTGTTTCGACATGTAATAATAAGCGTGCAGTTGGCATTAGTTCTCTTGCACAGGTCAGTGATTTGGTACGTTTACTATTCATCGCAGTATTGCTCGGAATATATGTTTAAGGAATATTAAGGTTTCGAAATATTCCATAATGTTGAATTAATGTTGGTAGTTCCTGAAAGAAAAATGACTTCTATAACACGTCTGTAGTAGTTTGACTAATTTAACAGTAGATGGTGATGGCGATGTATGTGACCCTTGCTGCCATCTACTCAGGCTGGAAATTTGATGTGTGCATGCACGGTTATGTGGCATTTTTACGGTTTTATTATAATGTTAATTTGTTGAGTGAATTTGAAAGAAGTGCGAGTGATGAAGTTATCGATTTCGTGTGTGGAAAACAATTAATAGTGTCCCCAGTTGTGCATTTCCTTAGAACTTGCTGAATGCCCACGGACGGTTTTCCTGTGGTAAGTATGCATATTTTCCTCGTTAGTTTATTTCATGCACGCAAGCTAATGATGTTGACAAGTTGGGAGGTAATTGCAGAAAGGATTGCGACTTTTGGGGAAGTTAGGAAACAATTTCAGAGTGCGGCATAAACGTAGTTATAACGCTGCGACATGTAGTAGAATGCTGTTAAACAGTGGCCTTCTACCCAAAAATGGTATAAGTGGTATATTACGTTAAGTCTTTAGTCTGACCTAAAGCAGTGAAATTTAACTTGGGAATTATCCATCGTTTGATCAGCTTAATGAATATATGATTTGGAGCTTTTGCGGTTATTAAACTCAATAAAATCTCAGAGCAATTGCCCGAGAAGATTTTATTAAGCTTAAGCAATGTTTTACAGGCGACCTTCAGAGATAATTATAACCTTAAACTGTTACGTTTTAGTATATAGAAATCACCTTTATAGATAATTTTGCCAAACGTGTAAGTTACAACAATTTGAAGATGTTTGGTAGATATTTCGGAGGTGCTTGCTGCCTCCATCATCATGGCTTCACATTGATGAAGGCAGTAGGCACCTCTGAAACGTCGGTCAGTACTTCTAGACTACACAGCACAACTTGTAATATTTGCATAAAACTTTTATTTCGAAGAAAATCGCATATAGTACCATTAGTGGGTGTCAATGCAGACGTCTTAATTAAAAGAAATGCATGTCAAGGACATATTTGCCTGATTTCTTGTCGGTGCTATTTAATGTGTTTGTTCTGTTTGGGCAGGCTGCTCTGTAAACGGTTAAATTAGCGTTCTGCAGTACACGTCTCTACCCGGAATGTAAACAAATTATAGAGTTGCAGTGGTCACATCGAATCCGTCTCATTCTACCAAACACGGATTTGAACGGAGAAAATCAAATTGTTTTGTTTTATTCGGCTGAAGCAGGAGAAGGGTTCTTTAGGAATAAAACAGCATTACGACGTTTAAGGCAGAGCTATGGACATGTTAACGTAACGGTTGGATTCCTGTCACGGGTGATTAGTTTAGGCTACTGCAGACGAAATCCGAATATGGTCAAAGTAGTTCGTCCGACGTTTGTGGTCACATTATTACGACCAAACCAATAAGAATTCGGCAATTAATCAATTCTGTCAACAAATGCGCAGTATATCTCATGTCTGGTTATAACGTTACAAAATTATAAGCAAAACACAACAATAATTTAAAATATAATTCACAATAAATGCATTGGTACTTTTACTGTCTGTTACTTATTTTACTGTAAAGCTACGAATAAAGACATTGTGTTTTATAAATAATGCTAGTAAATTTTTCGTCAATAATGATGGGGAAATCCAAGGTATTTAACGTAGTGACAAATGTTGTCTTATAAGGCCCAAAATCCCTTTACAGCATTATCATAGCTATGGTTATAACAACACGAATTCATAAATATTAACCCGTAAGGCCCAAAATCCCTTAACAGCATTATCATGGCTATGGTTATAACAACACGAATTCATAAATATTAACCCGTAAGGCCCAAAATCCCTTAACAGCTTGTGATTGCCAACCAAGCCATAAACTAACAGTTGCCTATTGTATGGCATTTTAGGAAAACTACGCTCGTTTAAGAAACTTTGACAATACCACGGTCATGAATAGGGAAAAAAGGCGTTATTGGATCCACAGCGACACAGTGCAGTCAGAAAGTAGCGAAAAAACAAATCAAATCAAATGGACGCCGTGTCGCTATCTGCAATTTAGAGTGACTTCAATATTACTGTTTTTTAAGACCCGCGCAGAGGGTGGGGAGGCACAAAGAGTAGAGTACGTGTCGCTACTGGCGTCGTTTCGTTAGGAAGCCCCTGCTTCCTGATCTGTAATTCCCTTTCTCCCGATGTTCATCAGTTCTTTCGTCTCCACCACTTCAATCGGCTTTGTTTTCCCGAGCGACGTCTAGTAATCGAAAACACAAATTTGCTTTTACAAACAAGTGTGTGTGTGTGCGTGCGTGTGAGTCTGCTGTTTACATTTTGGTGGAAGACAGACATCACACTCGCACGTTCAAAGGGGCACGTCTTTTGTATGGGTTTACTAGATCGACGTGATTTTTTTTTCTCGTGAAGGTACAGGAAAGAGAAATGCAGGGTTTGACTACAGGGCAGAATTCGAAATGGAAATGAAAACTTGTGCACGTGAAATGCAAAGCAGTTTTGTTGCTCAAAGCTTAGGTACATTGTTTTCAAGTGTCTGGGGTTCGAATCTTTACGCCAATTTTAGGGGCTGAACTACTTCCGGGACGGGAGGAAAGAGCCAAGCGCTTCTAAAGCCACTACTAAGTAATTCCGGGAGTCAGGTTCAGCTTACATAAAAGTAAACACCACCGTGTCATTTGTATCAGGTGTGTTGATATTATTAAAGTGTTTTCTTGGGACATTAATCCTCTCTTTCAAATTTCCTCTGCTCTTTCTATCCAAGACGTAATGTTGACTTTGTCGCGTTGTTTAGTTAAAACACGGAAGAGGGGTACAAGTATAGATGAAGTTGATGAAGCTATTTCTCATCACCAATGACAAAAATGCCCGATACATAATTATCACCAAATTTCATAACCTGATAAATAACAACAACAATTTAAGAAAGAAACAGCAATACAGCCCGATGAGATAAGAAAACAGTAGCGAAGATCTCACAGTAACAATAGCTCAGTGTTTAGAAACGCGTTCAAATTCAGATGTCGCGGTACACCGGTTGAGAAACTCTGCTATATTCAGGTATTTGAGTGATGGTTGGGGACAATCTTTATGTTGCATAACTTGATTATCTTACGTTTTCTGTATCTCTGTATATGGCTGCACATAAAACATCGAGTAAGCCATGTTCTAAACCGTACTGGATGGCTTGTCTTTCCAAGTTCCATCGATTTCTCGTGAGATTTGAGAACATTTTGCTGAAGTCAGATTCCTGGGACTGTATCCGAGGGACTGATCCCCGAGTTTTCCAGTTCAGGGGGTCTTCAGTACCAGAGGGAGGAGAGCCGTTTATCTGTTCGATATCCTGCTCTTGTATGTTATATTCCTGAAGGATTTGGAGTGACACTGCAGAGAGGCGTAGCGGTTAACCCTTTCCATGCTATTCACGATATACCTTGCTTAGAAGCACTACTTCTAGTCCGTCTTTTTGGTGTTTTGAAAGCAGTGAAAGGAAAATGTCCCGCCATCTGTCAACGGTTGAAGCGAACTTACCAATCCTGCCCTTATAGCTTTATGTTTAAATGGGAAATATACTAACAGAAGAAGGTGCAAGCTTAAATGAAATCTGCGTGGAAATAATTAATGACTGTTCAGCTTCAAAATTTTGACTGTCAGCATTCGTAGTTTTTGCTACGTGTATGAAATGAAGGGGCGTCTCCGAAATTATATTTTCGATTAAGTTCGGTAGTGAGTATTTACAGCAAATGTTGTCGAGGAAATTTAATTTTGATTTGTGTCTGTCTAGTTGACCTTTTGCCGCCACGGAAGTGTAAGTTTATAATTTTTTTTAAAATCTGAGGATCGTACAAACAAATTAGTCCATAATATAAAATATTTATCTCAATGTATGATCTCAA